AAGAGCGGGGGCACAAAGCCCAGATTCTGATATCTGGATGGGGAGAGAGAGGCGAGAGAGGTAGAGAGGGGGCAGGTAGTAGGGACTGGGTGACAGAAACACCCAAACTACAGAGGAAGAATGAGCTCTCCCAGAGCCCCAGGGAGGAGGAGCCACGAGCACCTCCAAGTCGTTCCTTCCCAGGCTCACAGGGAAGGAAAAGGCCCCAGAGGAGAGAAGGCAGTGACCTCTCCTTCCTGCCCCACTCCCAGGACAGCTGAGAACCCGAATGGCCTGAAGTTAATTGCTAGGGAAGAGTGGCGGGCTGAGAACACCCCCAAGCAGGAAACCACGAAGGGAACCAAAGCCTTTGAAGGTGTTGCATGGCTCCTCTTGGTTTATCATCAACCCGGGACCTGGTGCTCCTGTTTATAGCAGTTACGTCCATTTACAATTTCTCTCTTTATCTATTTATTCATTCATTTCGTACAGATGGCCCCCGACTTACAATGGTTCAACTTAGGTTTTTTGACTTTACAATGGTGTGAAAGCAAGACAAATTTGGTAGAAACCATGTTTTGAATTTTAAATCTTGATCTTTCCCTGGCCTAGCGATGCGCAGGACATACTCCCTCGTGATGCTGGGCGGTGGCAGCTCCCGGTCAGCTACACGGTCACCAGGGTGGACACAGACAGCCATTCTGTACCAGACTACCATTCTGTTTCTCACTTTCAGTACAGTGTTCAATCAATTACATAAGAGATTCAACACTTTATTATAAAACAGGCTTTGTGTTAGATGATTTTGTTCAACTGTAGGCTGATGTAAGTGTTCTGAGCACATTTAAGGTAGGCTGGCCTAAGCTATGATCTTTGGTAGGTTAGGTGTAAAAACGCATTTTTGACTTTTGATATTTTCAACTTAAAAACAGGTTTATCAGGACGTAACCCCATTGAAACTTGAGGAAGATCTGTATTGCAACATAATTCAAATACCATAAAATTCACCCTTTAAAAGTGTACAGTGGGGCTTCCCTGGTGGCGCAGTGGTTGAGAGTCCGCCTGCCGATGCAGGGGACACGGGTTCGTGCCCCGGTCCGGGAAGATCCCACATGCCGCGGAGCGGCTGGGCCCGTGAGCCATGGCCGCTGAGCCTGCGTGTCCGGAGCCTGTGCTCCGCAGTGGGAGAGGCCACAACAGTGAGAGGCCCGCGTACCACAAAAAAAAAAAAAAAAAAAAAAAAAAAGTGTACAGTGTTTTTTAGTATATTCACAAACTTGCACAATCATCACCACTGTTTAATTCCAGAAGTTGTAATTCTTGCTGATCATCACGCTCCTGAGACAGGCCCTGCCATGCCAGGGCTTCCAGCCAATTGCCATAAGCATCTTCCTCTCCCAGCCGCAGCCAGGACTGGCAGCTGCAAGCAGGGCCCACCCTTCCAGCCCCAACCCCGGCTGCAGCTTTCTGTCAGCAGACATTCTTGACTAGGAACATTAGCTCCCTCTTTTGAGAGGGTGGCAGCAGTCTCCGTGGGAGCAGGGCGGCCCTGCGTGTGCTCTGGTTTTGGCCCCTGCTCCTCGGTGGGCCGAGACTCAGATTGGTCAGGAGGCACCAGCAGGCTAGTTGGGGGAGGCACACAGGCAGCAGGGGCTTTCTTTCTGAGGGACAGGTGGCTGGAATCCCAGCAGCACCTGTGCCTAGGACTGAGGGTTTTTCTTGATTGCAAGCAGTGAGACTGGCTGCCAGAGAAGCCAATTGGATCTCAGCTGTCATTAACAGCAACACTCCTCTGCTCAGCCAGAAACCTGGAGTCCTCCTGACATCCTGGAAACTCCCTTCCTTGCCTGCCCCACATCAGTCAATCACCGAGTCCTATCAATCCTCTTCTGGACATTTCTCTTGCATCTGTCTACTTCTTTCCACTTCCGCAGCCCCCATCCAACGCCCACCTCCACCTCTGCTTCCTGGACAGCGGAACGACCTCCTACCCAGTTTTCTGCAACACTCCTGCCTGCTTCTAACTGAGTGTCCATACTGTGGTCAGGAGGATCTTCAAAATGTGAATTTGACTATTTTACAACTCTGTTTGAAACCCTTCATGGGCTTCCCATTGCCCTTAGAGCAAAGTCTCCCATCCTTATCCTGGCTTATGAGCCTGCATGACCTGCCCTCTGCCTCCGCTCACCTTTCTAGACTCATCGGAGGCCCCAGGCAGGGTCCCTCACGATGTTCCAGCCACACAGATGCTTCAGTTCTTCCTTCCTCCTGCCCTCTATGCCGTTCTCCTCACCGACCTGATGGATGCCTCCTCATTCTTCGGGGTGCAGCCACAGAGCAACCCTTTGGGAAGGCGAGGGTAGGCCTCCCTGCTCTGGCTTCCACAGTTCTCTGTGACCCCCTCACACTGTTCGTGTCTGCCTTTGCCCCAGGACTCTAAGATCCACCAAGTTACACCTCTGTCTCTCTGTTTGCTGCCTGACTCAAGCGCCAGCGTGGTGCAGGGCACACAGCAGGCACTCGGTAAATATTTGTTGAATGAATGAACAAATGACTAAGAGGCTACGGTATGCCCTCTTCTCCCCCCCTGGCAAGGTGACATCTGGATACTACATTCAGCTCTGGACAGTCCATTTAAGGGGAGTAAACTAGAGCCACGGAACAGGGAGGTCAGAGTGGTGGAGTCTGCAAACCAGGACATCAGACAAATGACTGCCTTTAGATCCTTCAGCCTGGAAGAGAAGATGAAGGACAAAGTGAGACCGAGGCCCGACTCTTGAAGGGCTGCCCCTGAGGGAGATGTCACAGGGATCGAGAGTTTGGCTCTAGAAGACTTGAAGACGCCCATCTCTGGGATTATGGCTGCTTTGTGAGGGAGTGAGCTGCTTGTTGCTGGAGATATTCAAGCAGAATACTTCCCGAAAGTATGAAAGAGCTCCTTCTAGCCCTGAGAGAGTGTCATCCCAAGGGTGGACAGAACTAACAGCTTCTCCTCTTAATGCGGGTTCTGCTGGGGGGAAACTTTGCTGTTCAGAGGACCATCGCTGCAGAAAGGTCTGAAAGACTTACAAAGAGCTGCTTTTAGAAACATCATATGCTGCACTGTCCATCTCCAGACTAATGCTCTGACCCATAAAAGTTCCGGGCATCTGGCATT